CTTGTAGGCGTAGAGCGCCAGGTACCTGCGGGAAGAGGGGGTGCTGGGGCCGCGCCGGTGCCCACCGCCCGCCCGACCCCGCAGCGCAGGCCGGAGCCAGGTGCACAGGTGCGGAGGTGCACGCGTTGCGGGGAAGGGACGGCCTCCCCTGGTCATCTGGAGCCGCGCTCCCGCACGGCCTGTACTGACCCAGAGCTCAGTGGCCGGAGGCCCCGGGGGATGTGCCAGAAGCAGCACCACCCCCGCCACCCCGCCGTCTTATTCCGTTCTCCTCTGCCGACACCGTGCTCCGGGCAAGGGAAAGCTTTAGGGGAAGCAGGCTGGCTACGTGTGCGGCCCGGGGCTGGGTTTTCCTCACTTGGTCTCACCTGCCCTGCTCACCCGCTCTCTGAGCTGGAAGAGACTCAGAGGCCCTTTTAAAGAAAAAGCAGCCGGTTACGGACGCCATAGATCTGTGACTAATGATTTAAATTCTACTTTTAAGCCTTTTTGAACTATTTCGTGGCGTGAACCCCGGCCTGGGGCTTAGGAGCTGTGCCTCTGCCTCAGCCAGGACCCCATGAGCTGCCCAGTGATCCCCGTCCCCACCCTTGGGTACCACTCGTGAGTCCTTGCTACCTTGGGGGTTTGTGGAGCAGGTGATTTTAACTTAAGAGAGAACAGTGTCACAGATCCCGGCAGGAAAGGGGGCGGGGGCTTCACTTCAGTGAGGAACAGAGACACGTTTAAGAGGCATGCCCCCCCCAGGCCTCCCACCAGGACCTGCCTGGTGCACACGCTGCCCCTGCTGGGTGGGCTTCTGGGGACTGGAGCTCCCGGACCCCCAGAGCACCCTCCTGACCCCAGAGGCCCTTCTTAGCAGGTGACACAGAAACAGGAGGGCCTCACTGGGTTCAAGTGAGGAGAAGGGAGGCATCCTGGGTCAGAGGGACCTCGGAGGAAGAGGCTAGAACAGGATGAGAAGCCCGCAGGACACAGAAGTCCTGGCCATGAAATACAGTAAAACCAGATGCACAAAACCTGCCCCCACCCTAGCGTCCTGACCACCGCCCCCCCACCCCCCAGCCCTGTGCCTCTGCCTCTTCATCGAAGGCCTTGCCCCACATCCTTTGCTCAGGCTCCTTCCCCTCCCCCTCTCCCCCCTGGGTGAGAGATGGACTGAGTCTTAAAGACAAAAGTGACAGGAGGAAGGACTCAGGGCCTCAGGGAGGGTGAATGAGGCCCCACCAGGAGGACCTCGTTGTCTGGGGTGAAGACCCACATGATCCAGCCGCCACCAGGTGACCAGGGGAGTGCTGGGCATGAAACTGCTTTCACGCTTGTGCCACTCAGGGGGCTCTTGGGGGTGACCGGGAATCTCTACAAAGTCCCCTGAGAGCTCCAGACGTGGCTCGAGGCTGCCTCACGTGGGAGGCAGGTTGGAGAGAGGGGGCAGCTGGTGTGTGAGGGACTGTGACCCGCCTGCTTGCAAGGAAACAGTGAAACAGAAGACCCTTTTGTTTGCCTCATTCTGCCCCTTCATCGTGTGAGAATGGTCTTTCTGATTCTGTGGCTGGTGACGCACAGTGGCCAAGGGGACACCAAGCGGGGGTGATGACTCCCAAGGGTGCATGTGACATGGGGTCTCCAAACAATCTCAGTCCCTGGGGGTTGGGGGCAGAGGATGGCTGACATCGAGGAGACAGAGGACCCAGGCCTCGGTCCAGGTGGGACCTGGGCTAGGAGAGAGGGTGGTGGGGCTGGGGGAGGGAGAAGCCGGGACACGTGGACGGATAAGCGGCAGGTCAAAGAGGCAGTGGAGACGGGAGCTGAAAGAGCTTCTTTTCACAGATACCAACCAGCCTCCAGTCCCGGGGGCCAGGGTCCCTCCTCCAGGGCACGGCGGGCAGGACACGATGCAAAGGGAGCTTTGCCTGGGTCTCTCTCTCTCTGCCTCCCATCCACCTACCCAGCCTCTGGGACCTGGGTGACTTAAGGGGCCACCCCACCATCCACTTGAGCGAAGCCGTGGACACAGGGATGCCTGCAGGAGGAGGCACTGTCCCTGTGGAGAGAGGACAGACCCCAGGCAACGAGTGTGAGGCTCATTTGGCTCCGTGGCCCAGGATGGACCCACTCCCCAGCCCCCCACATCCGGCTCAGTGTCCACCAGCACCCACTTCCCCAGGGCAGGGCTCAACCCAGATTTTAACAGTAGCGTAAGTGTGAGCAACTGCGGCAGACACCAGCCAAGCCATGCGCGTAGTCTGACCCTGGGGAGGCGCTGTCAGATCACACGTGTGACTGTCTCTGGGGGTGAGCTGACTGCCTTCACTCGATGTGCTAGGTAGGGTCCCTGAGTCATTTAAGGAACAAGATAAAATCCCCATCACGAAAAGAATGAACCTTCTTCAGATTTTGAGCCTCAAGTTGTCTTGATCAACCTTTAAGTCAGAAAAGTCTTCTTTCAAAATTCCATTTTTACTTTCAATAAATACACCATGGCCCCTAATGATGTAATAAAGGCAGAAAACAGGCAACTGAGAGGTGAACTTGGTTGAAACCATTGCCCAGTGTGGACCCAGTGTGGGTCCCTCGGGCTGGGGCACTAGCACCGCCCGCTTCTAGGACCCCAGGCTCTGCTGAGCCTTGTCATTAACTTATTTGCACACAGATCTGGATTTACTCCACGTCCACCTCCTCACATGGGACGTCTAGGCTCTTAACAGTGGGAAGTGGTATTTCCTTCCCAGTTTCAGCTATTTATCAGATGCCCAGTGATTCTGGTGCCCCTCGGGTGGGCACTAACAATGGCAGGGAACCCGGGTGTCACTTCCAAGGATGCCTTGGTCCCCGGGAAATGAGCCATCCTCCTCTTCAAAGTCAGCAGAGTCAGAACTCGGTTTTACCTTGTTTATGAGGAGCTGCCTGCCACGTGGGGCTTGCTGGACAGCATGCAGGGCTGCCCCCAAGCTGGCTGCCCTGGGCAGAGGCAGGACGGGGGCGGAGGGGGGGGAGCTGACACTGGTCACGGTCTTGCCTTAGCCCCCTGTGAACGCTGAGGCTGGGTTCCCCGCCCGCTTCACAGCTGAGCAAACAGAGGCTCAAAAAGATGGAGAGTCTGTGTTTATGCAGCAGCAGCGAGTTAGAGGCAGGCGGTACAGTACGTGGCTTCAGGGACCTGGTGGGGAGAGGCGGGCCTGGAGCAGGGGCTCCATGTGGGGCACAAATGCCCTTGCTATCTTCATCTTCATTTTAAATTTGTTCTCCAATGAGCAATCCCTCCTCGGGTCTCAGTGTTTCAAGTTGGACCTCTGGGTGTGCGTTGCTGGGATGACAGATGTAAATACACCTGCCTCACATGGAAAGGCTGTGCCCCCGCCCGATTCCCTTCGGTGCCTCGGAGGAGAGCCGGAAGCACATGGGACTGTAGGCCTCTGTTGCGCTCTGTACATCTGCCTGCGGCTAGTGCGGGGGTGGTGCTGCCCAGGGAACGTGTCCTCGGGCGTCCGCTCCTTCAGAGTGACTCAAGAAAATGCCACAGGGGGACCACACTGGAGCAGAGGAGGGACTGGCTGGCTCCCAACCTGATGCCTGCAGCTCTCCATCCCTGCAACGGGCCTGGTCACTCTGTCCTGTTCCCAGTGCGGCCACGGGGTGCACCCCTGGCACCCCTTCCCACCACATCCCCTCGGCCGTGCCTGGCAGAGCCCCGTGTGCTGATGGTGCCCACAGTGTTGGAGCTGCAGCCTGTCCTCAGCAAGCCTGGGGGCCCTGGCCAGGCACGGGACGGGCCCTGGTGGCTCCTGGCACCCCCCCCACTCTCCACCCCTCCTACAGGCCTCGAGCTCAGCACCGCCTCCACGGACGGCTCAGGGCAGTCCTGCACAATCTGTAGGGCAGGCTCGCTGCCCCTCCAGGCCCGGATTCGCCTCTGTGGGTTCACCAGGTCAGTGCTTATACTCAGGTAAGGGTGGGAGCGTTTGATTCTGAAAGCCTCTTCCCCACTGCCCAGTAGCCTGCGTGGGGCTTTCGTGTCGATCAGAAAAGGTGCCCTCCTCTAGGCAGACGCAGCCCTGCCAGTGCGAGTCGCTGGAAAGTCAGGCCTTTCCCAGCACAGGTGCACCTGCTCAGCCAGGGTCAAGGCTGTGTCCCCAGGCAGCCTGCCCTCCGGGAGCAGCCGGCACTCCCCTATCACTGGCTGACTTGGCAGGAGTGAGTTAACCACCTACAGATTCCCTTCCACTCGAATCGCCGTACTGTGATTCATTAGCTTCACACCCTCCCTCCTCCAGACAGCTCGCTCGGTTCTTCCGAAATAAGTGAAAGAGTCTTTCCATCCCTCCTGCGAAGAGCCTGTGCCTCTCCTGGTTGCCAGGGGCCCCAGGGCTCAGGCCAGCGAGACACGCGCCCACCTGCTGACTGTCCGGTTCAGCATGACCTACTGAGGAACTCCCCTCCTCCCATGGACACAGCAAATCCACGACCGCCTGTGGGACCTGGGAAATGCCGAACTGCCGAACAGCCTCCACAGCAGGGAAAAAGGACAACATGGAGACGGGAAGGGGAGGCAGAGACAGACTTGCCAAGGAAACTACCCCCAGCCGCAGCAATCCAGTCAGGAGGGACCACAAAGGATGGGTCTCTGCCCTGAGGAGCGAGGGATTCGAGCTCCTCATGAGGTGAGTAACCCCAACCTCCAGATTCTGCTCAAGAGAGATGACCCCCCAAAACCTGGCTTGGAAAACCAATAGGGAATATGGCCAGGAAAACTACAAAACTGCAGGGATTGGAAAACCCACACTCCAAGGGCCCAGGTGCAGGCTCTCTCAACTCAAAAACCAGGACAAAAATACCAGATTGAAAAGCGCACTGACTATGAGGGAAGGGGACCTACTTACTAATGTGGAAGCATCTGCCAGAGACGCAGGAACCAGGTGGGAAGCCTCCCAGGGACGAAGTCACTGCTGGAGCCCTTTCTGTGATCTCAGGCTACCTTGCTAATCCCAGCCAGGTAGGGCCCGTTTTGAAATTCTCCATCTAACCTGTGAGTGTCAGTAGGCGTGTCCTGATGAAACCCCACCCACCCCGCCCCTCGGCCAGACTTCTCAGCCCTCCAAGTGACAAGCCTGCCCACCAGTGCCTGGCAGCTACTGTGGCTGGGCCCACAGCTGATCCAAGGCCACCCCACCCACCAGCATCTCTCAGTCCCCCACCACAGGATGCACACAGCCTACGCAGGGGACACCCCTTGAGTGCCTGTCTGTGGTGGCCAGGCAAGACTGCCTCTCTGGGCCCCACCAGACATCTCCTAAGTAAAGACACTCCTTCAAGCCTGGGAGAGGTAGCTGATTTACCTACTACATAGAAACAAACACAGAACTAGGCAAAATGATGTTATATGTGAACCTCATTGTAACCACAAGGGAAAAACTTACAGTAAATACACAAAAGAAAAAGAGAAAGGAATGTAAACATAATACTAAAGAAAACCACCCAAAACAAGGAAAGATAGAAAGATAAAAAGAAAGGAACAGAGAGGAATCACAAAAACAGCCAGAAAACAATTATCAAAGTGGCAGTAAGCACATATCTATCAATAATTACTTTAAATGTAAATGGACTAAATTTGCCATTCAAAAGAAAGAGTGGCTGAATGGATTAAAAAAAAACAAGACCCATCTATATGCTGCCTACAAGAAATTCACTTCAGAAGTAAAGATACATACAGACTAAAAGCAAAGACATGGAAAAAGATATTCCATTAAAATGGAAATGAAAATAAAGCTGAAGTAGCTATATTCAAATCAGAGTATAAAACAAAGACTGTAATAAGAGAGAAAGAAGGGCACTGTGTAATGATAAAGGGTTCAGTCCAGCAGGAAGATGCAATATTTATAAATGTGTAGGTGTGTATGGTCCCAACATAGAAGTACCCAGATACATAAAGCAAGTATTAATGAACATGAAGGGGGAAATTAAAAGTGATACAATAGTAGCAGGGGACTTTAATACCCGAGTTATATCAACGGACAGATCATCCAGGTAGAAAATAAATAGAAAAACATTGGCCTTAAATGACACATTAGACCAGATGGATATATACAGACCATTTTGTCCAAGAGCAGCAGAATACACATTCTTCTCAAGCACACACGGAACATTCTCCAGGATAAATCACATGTTAGTTTACAAAATAGGTCTCAATAAACTTAACAAGGTGAAGGTCGTATCAGGCATCTTCTCCAACCATAATTGTGTGAAACTAGAAATCAGTCACAGAGAAAAGTGGGGAAAACCACAACAACGTGCAGATTAAACAACATGAATGGGCCATTGAAGAAATCAAAGAAGAAATTTTAAAAAACACTTGGAACCACAATGATCCAAAATCTATGGGTCACTGCAAGAGCAGTTCTGAGAGGGAAGTTCACAGGATGAAGAGGAAGCTTCACACAAAACAATCAGGAAGATTTAATTCCTATCCTTCTCAAACTCCTGCACAAAACTGAACAGGAGGGAAACCAACCTCATTTTACAAGGCCAGTATTATCTTCATACCGAAACCAGATAAGGACACCACACAAAAAAAGAAAATTACAGGCCAATACATCGTTGACAAACATAGATGCAAAAATCTTCTGCAAAATACTAGCAAATAGAATTCATACACTGTGATCAAGTGGATTTATTCCAGGAAGGTAAGGATGGTTTAACATCTGCAAATCTATAAATATGATACACCACATTGAAAAACTAAAGAATAAAAACCACATGATCATCTCAATATATACTGAAAAAGCATCTGACAAAATTCAACATCCACTTACAATTAAAAACTCCCAACAAAGTGGATATAGAGGGAACATACGTCAACACAGTAAGAGCCTTACACGGTAAGCCCACAGCTGACATCGTACTTAACAGGGAAAAGCTGACAGCATCTTCTCTAAGATCAGGAATAAGACTATGATGCCCACACTTGCCACTTTTTATTCAACATAGTATCGGAAGCCCTAGTCACAGCAATCAGACAGTAAGAATAAAAGGAATCCGAATTAGAAAGGAAGAAGTCAAACTGTCACTGTTTGTGGATGACATGCTACTATACATAGGAAATCCTGAACCCACCACCAAACACCACTAGAACTCATCAATACATTTTGTAAAGTTGCAGTATATGAAGTTAATACACAGAAATCTATCAACAAGCTATACAAAAGAGAAATGAAGAAAAACAACCATTGACAATTACATCAAAAAGAGTAAAATACCTAGAAATTTCACCCATCAGGTGAAAGACCTCTACACTGAAAACCGGGAGACGCCGATGAAGGAGACTGAAGACACAAAAAATGGGAAGATATTCTGTGCTCACGGATTAGAAGAATTAGTTTGATAAAATGCCCATAATCCTCAAGGCAACCTACAGATTCAGTGCAATCCCTATCTAAATTTCAGTGGCACTTTTTTTTCACAGAACTACAACAAACAATTCTAAAATTTGTATGGAATCACAAAAGACCTCAAACAGCCAAGGCAATCCGAGAGAGAAGAAAGCTGGAGGTCTCATCTCCCTGACGGCAAACTGTGCAGCCACAGAATACACACGTTAACTTGCAGGAGCCAGGGACACTCGTGCTGGCCACAGTCCATCTGATGATCACATGACCAGCGGACACATTCCTGTCAAAATGCTTATCATCCTTTGAATGATGTATCGGACTCCATTCTGTTACCTAAATGAAAAGCTCGACCCAAACAGGGACAGCCATGCTCTGGGGGTGAGGAAGAGGGAGGAGGCATGGGGCTGGGGGCCACACGGACCCCCTCATCCCCTCAGGACAGAGCGAGGGCAGGGGGAGAAAGAAGTCCCTCCAAACTCTGCATCAAACATGAAATCCCTCCGTGATGTGGAAGGTCTGCGCGTGGCGGAGGCCTCCAGGATTACTGACGACTCTCAGAGTGACATTCCTGGACCCGTACTACCTCCTGGGTTTCAAAGGCAGAGTGGCTGACCTGGGGGACCGGACCCTCAGTGCCCAGGAGGGAGGAGCTGGCTCTGTCTGAACAGGTGAACAGTTCCCCTGAGTGTCAGGCACTCAGGCACTTGCTGGGGACGCCTTGACCTTTGAGAGCTCCCCTGTCCCTCCTCTCTCTTGGGGAACTACAGTAGGGCCCCCTGGTCTTCTGTGGACCAGGTCTGCTTCCTCAGGGATAGGGTCCCGCACTCAGTTCTCAACAAGTAAGACCACTGCCCATCCTTCCCGGGGGGCCGCCCCAGGTCTGAGTGGAGGCCACTGGAGCTTATCTGGAAATCTGGTCGGAAGAGAGTGCCTCCTGTCCTGTGTTGTGAGCCCTGAGTTTCTGCCTAAAGACACCTGGACAGCACTTACTAACCTCTGTCCCCTCAGGAGGCCACGTAAAAACAGGTAAGTCCCAATGTGCTTGGTTTAGTTGGCTGTGACAAGAACCCATTCACACCAGACTGAGCAGTAAAGGGAGGGTGTTGGGGAGCCCCCATCCGCGCTAGATGCAGGCAGAGGAGGCGAGCCTGAACCATGCACCAAGCACGGACTGCAGGAATCCCTCTGAGGGCGGGCAGGCTGCATTCTCAGCAGGCACCGTTCGCCTGAATTCCATTGTGTTCTGCAGCTACACAGGCTCTAAGTGTCCCTCTGGCCGTACTGGACCTGGGGGACTTTCTGCCACGTGGTTTGCCTAATTCATACTCTCCACCTTAAACATTTGTTCAAGTAACTGAACTCATTGCCAAATGACAGAGCAGACGGCAGTGACTCTCCACAGTAAGCTTTACATGGCAGCTTGAAACTGCACGTCTTTCGGGAGCTGTCACTTAACAAGAGCAGACAGGCCCCTCGCGTCCCAGCAATGCTTCCTCTGGCTCTCCCTGGGAGTGACATGCAGCTGCTACACACGGGGGTGGCCGTGGGTGCTTCAAATACTGAGCCTCGCCTGAGCAGTTGGTGACGCCCACTGCGTGGGCATCCTCTGCCCTGCAGGGCCCATACTGACCTTCTCAGGGGCCTCTGGAGCCCTTTCCTGAGCGGCCAAAGTGCCATCAAATGTCCAGACCGCCCTCCTGCTTGTACTGAATGTCCGAGGAACAGTGATGGTAAAGGACCTGCTGGACTTGCTCTCAGGCTGCCCGTCAGCAGTCCTGTTAGAACCAAGGGGACCAGCTGGTGACACACTAGAAAGCCCCACACTGACATGCTCGCAGGGGTGGGGGACGTGCTGAAGGCTGGGACCCCAAAAACATAAATGGCAGCTCACACATTGAGGGGCAGCTGGACTTTGGGAGCCATGCCCTGCTGTTCAGCTGCTGGGGCAGGTCCGGCCGAGGAGGAGTCCTGGAAACAGACAAGAGGAGACAGTGAGTGGACGGGGGCTCCTACGGCGGGAGAAGGGCAGTAGGGGTGGAGTCCAGGGACATCTGGCCCCTCAGCTGCCTGATCCTTTGGCCTGCTAGGGTCCCAGGTTCTGCCTGCAGCCCAGTAGAGGGAGCCACCCACCTGAGCTCGGGCCGACTAGGGCATAGGCACTGCCTCTGACCATGGGGCTTACTCAGGGGGACAGGCGTCAGGCAGGTCCCTGCAGACACAGGGTCCCAGCGAGTGCAGGGCCCAGGAGCACACGGCAGGGGCTTGCCTGTACGTGGCCAGAGGGGCTCCTGTGAGCATCAGGTGAAGGGCTAGGCTGAAAGAGAGGCTGGCAGACGAGGGGGTGTGTGAGCCCCCGGAGCCCCTGGGCCACCTGCGGGTCCTGGTCCGCACCCTGAGGCCAAAGACACACCTGGTAGGGATGCTGGCAGCTGTGGAAGTTCAGCCCTGGATCAGGGGCAGGGTGAGGAGGGGGAGGGAGGCCTACATAGGGCATGGATGTGACAGCCACTCCCCCATGCGGAGCTCACTGGGACCATGCTCTGCTCTAAGTACTTCACCTGGAATGATGCATTTCATTCTCAGAATAAGCCTGTAAAGTGGGAGCTACTGTCTGTCACCATTTTGCACCATGAGGGAGCTGAGGCCCAGAGCAGGGAGGCCAGTGGCTCAGTCACACAGCCAGGCTGGGCATGAACTCAGCAGCCCAGTGTTGGGGCTATGTGCTGACCCACCACATTGTCCACAAGAGCTTCCCGTGGCTGCGCAAGTGATCGCAAGCCAGTGCCTTGGTGTGACACAGATTTCCCGTCTTGGGTCAGCTCTGGGGGGGTCCTAAAAGCACATGTGGCAGGGCTGCTCCTTCTGGAGGCTCCAGGGAGAGTCCATCCCAACCTTTCCCACCCGCAGGCACGGGCCCCTCCTGTGGCCTCACAGCCAGCAGAGCAGCAGGGTCAGCCCCTCACTTATCTCAAAAGGACCCCCTATGCTCACGCTGGGCCCAGGGGTCCAGGACTGTCTCCCGTCTCAAAGTTCCTTGTCCTTCTGCCAAGTGAGGTGACACGTTCATGGGTTCTGGGGGTTAGACATGGGCATGTCACCCCCCTGTACCAGCAGGACTAGTGGCTGACAGAATGAGGGGCAGAGGGAATGCTACCCTGCTCACAGTCAGGGAGAAACTGGGCAGGGAGGAGCCCCGGGCCCTTTCCATACACACTGCCCAAATCTAGTTACTGACAAAACTTCTCTCAGTTCTGGAGAGAAGGGGGGCCCTGCTGACCCCCATTTCCTGTTCAGAACGAATCCTAAAATATATGGACAAGGCAAGTTGAAGGTTCAGACGAGGATTTCACGGCACCGTTTACAACACAAGGAACCAGGTGCTGAGGCCCCGTGCTCCCGGTGCAGGCTGGATGCCAGTGAGGCACCGCCCCCACGGCCGAGGGGAGGACCTGCATGAGGCTGGGAGAGCTGAGGGCCATGCATCGATGGGATGGGCTAGGGAACTGGACACGGGGCCAGCTGCTTTCACATTAGATGGGTGCGTTTCCTCTGAGGGAAAAGCATGGGCACTTATATAACACACGATGGCGCTGGTACTTAGGGACCTGGAATTTCAGTTAATTTTCCAAAGGCTGTATGTTCAAATTTTCCATCATTTTACTATCAATAGTGACTGGTTTCCCGTCAAGTTTTCAAAGTGAGATACACAGAATGACAGACCCATCTGAGTATGTTTCCAGATCAGGCCCTGGTTCAGATGATCCCACACTCGTGCCTTTGTGGGGGCCGGGAAGGGACTGGGGAGGACCGTGGAGTGACCCTGCTATTGGCCATCCTGCTGACCAGGCCTGGGCACTGCTGGCCACAGCATGGCTGAGGGCATAGGCCAGGTGGCAGGACCCAGGAGACAACTGGCTCAGACGGACCCAAACCCACGACCCTGCTCCTGTAACAGGGCCTCCTGCCCAAGCAAACTCTCCTGAAACAGCAACCGGCCCAACAGCAAAGCTGCTGATGCTGACCGTGGGGTCTTTCCACACCCCCGCTGCCCTCCAGCCATGATTCAACAGGAGGCAGTCCACACGGAGGAGACCGGTTTCCATCTCCCAGGCGGAGGCAGAGGCTGGCTGCAGGTGTGGGCTGGGCCACAGTGCTGGCCCTCCAGCCCCCACACCTGTCAACTCCTCACGACAGGTGTTTGGGGCTGGAGGATTTGGGGGAGCTCACCCGGCTCTGGGGTGACAAAACTGCCCCACAGGAGCACAGTGGGCAATGCTGACGGCTGCTGGACACCTGGCCTTGGCTGAAACTCGACAGGACAAAGACCACAAAGCAAGTAACTGGGATCTCAGGGCAGATCCTCCATTAGAGCTGAACGGGGTCAGGAGAGGTCAAACCTGTGACAACTTCTTTTCCAAAAGTCAAGGTCGAGACGAAGAACATCTACAACTCCACCCACTGAGCCCGGGGCTCTGACTTGGCCCCCATGCAGCGCAGAGCCCAGATGAAGGCCCTTCTGGCATCATGTCCAGTGGTGGGAGCCCCCTGGCTCTGCTCGGAGGCGGGTGACCTCCCAGGGGTGCAGGGTCCCATCCATCCTCCTCTGAGCCCGTTCTTCACCTCTGTTCCTGTCAACAGAGGGGTGGAAGGGTGTCCCCACTGGCAGCTGAGCTGTGAACAGCCGTGGACACAGGCCCAGCCGAGCCGGAGGCAGCCGTGTGCTGACAGCACAGGCGGGGGGTCCTCTCGGGGGTCTGATTGAGGGCTTCTAAGCACCAGGCATCACAGGGGGCTCCAAGCCGTAGCAGCTACCCCGCCCGGGGAGGACAGCACTGCCCGGAGCCCTGCCACACCCTTGTGCACCACTTCCAGAAGGCGGGGATGGGAGAGTCTGGCCCCTGGCTCTGATCATGTGGAACAGGCTTCCTGGGTCGGGATGGGGACCTGTTTCATCCTCAGTGAGGTGCTCGTGGCTGACTCTGCTTTGATTTTTAATGGTTTACTTTTAAATGATTCTGGGCCCTAAGGGATCAGTGAAGGCTTGGCAGGAGTGAGGAAATCTGGCAGGGATGGAGGAAGGAGAGCGGCTCCAGCTGTTCCAGATGAAAAGCCCTGGGACAGACGTGCTCCCTACCTCCTGGCGACACCCCTCGCACCCTCAAGGCCCCTCGCCGGAGGGCTGACCGCTGGGATACGGTGGCTCACCGTACTCTTTCCAGGTGCCTCGTGACGGACACATGCTGGGGCTCAGGGCAGGCAGGCAAGCGCAGCCCGACTGGCAGGGAGCCGCCTGGCAGGGCGAGGACACGGATGGCTCAGTCCTCAGGGCCACCGACCCCAAAAGCACTGTCATCGCCCCAAGGAGCCGTGAAATGGGCATGTTTTATTCGTTACACGCTACCACTCCGTGACACAGGGTGTAAATCAGACTCTTCGGAACATGCTTCCCACAGACAACTTTAGAATGAAATATTTATGGCCAACAGGTGGGCTCAGGCCCTGGGTGCCCACCCTGGCCTCCTCTCCTCCTGTCTCCTCCTACCGGCAGGTCTGCGGTCTTTCCTTGTGCTGATTCACGGTGCTCCCTACCATCTGCTTCTGGGCCCTGGAGCTGTGTCCTTGTCTCCTGCTGGGCTGGCTGGTCCTAGAGAATGCGGTCCACCAAGAGCCCTCCTGGACCTGCAATGGCTGCTCCTTTAGCCGAGAGCTTGCCAAACACGAGGGAGGACAGAGGGACGGCAGCTCACAGGTCCCGGGTCTAGATGGTCCCCTTCATCCACCAGCGACAGCCTGGGGCCCAGCAGAAACCTGCACACATGATTCCTGTCTCATCACCACTGCAGAACAAACATGACTGGCACCTGACACTGTGGATGGAAAGCCGGGCCCAGGCGGCCAGCGTCCCTGCCCCGTTGTCCAGGTGAGTCCTGGACAGCAGCTCCTATGTCTACGGAGAAAGCTCTTCTTGTGCGAAGTCTTTGGGGTGAGATTTTTTATTCTTCTTGTACTCACTTCGTATTTTTTTTAAAATTATTTTTGCTCCTTATAAGGCACAGAATTAAATCTGTAACCTTCTGAAAATGTAAACACAAACTCAGGTTCTCCGCAGGCAGGAGCCTGGAGGCTCGGCTGAGAGCAGGGAGCCTGGTGTGATGGTCCCCTCTTCCTCCGCTGGAGGCCAACCTGCAGCCCAGAGGAGCGGAGGCAGCAGGAGGAGGTGGCAGGTGGGCGCGTTTAAAGATGCCGGAGGCTCCCAGGAGGACCCTTCCTTCCCTCCTCAGACACTGAAGAAACGCTCCTTCTTGATGTTTTCGCTGCTGAATTTCAAACACCCCCCGTTCCATCGATTTTAAAGGGCAATTCCCCCATCTCAAGGGCTTCCGTTTGCTTACTTTAAGCTGGTCTGTTAGCCATGGTCGCTCTGAAGCTGAGAAACACCGTGTCTGGTGAAAGCCAGTTGTTGGCTGGATGGGGTCAGCCTGCATGGACCCGGCCACCCCACGGAGAGCACCAGGAGCACCCCACAGCCGTCCAAGGACCGCAGGCAGAGGAACACCAGCTTCGGCTTCTGTGGGTCACTGCCTGCTCTCTGAGGTTGCTGGCCTCTGTGTGAAGCAGTTAAAACTCAAAGAGAATCAGAGGCGCTGAGGAGATGGTGCCGTGGACTACTCTCCGACACCTGGGCTCCTCCCTGAGTGCCGTGGACTCCACTTCCCACCCCTTCAAGCAGAGCTGGGCTAGCAGACTTGCTTTGGCCACAGAACATGAGCGGAGGTGGCGTGTTGCCTCCATGTGGGAGCCTGTGGAGGCCAGTGTACCGGCGGCTACACCCCACCTCTGCCACAGTGATGGGGACACCACTGACCAGGGCTGGGCCAGTGTCCCCGCACAGGGCCAGGCGATACATATTTCAGCCTCTGCAGGTCACATGGTCTCTTCTCAACCACTGGCTCCTCTGCTGTGGCCTGAAAACAGCTGGGCAGACGATGTGGCAGCAGCAGGTGCGGCTGTCCCAGCAAGGTTTCATTTACCAGCAAGGAGGCACCCTTGGCAGCGTCCCTTGGCTTCTGAGGTGAGGGCACCATGCAGCACCAGCCTATGGTGGATGAGCAGTGCGGGCAGGAAGCAGGCCTGGAGGGCTAACCAGCCCAGCTGACTGGCACGGGAGGCCTACGCCACCACCGAGGCTTGCCGGGCAGCCAGGAGATGGCCTGGGGCACCTGCTGGCTTCCGAAGGGGTTTACAGCAGGCAGCTCTGATATGCAGTTACCTCCCGCTCTGGCCTGATGACATCCACAAGCAGACACTCACCAGCACGAAACAGCCTCCCTCCCCAGCAGCAAGGTGACCCAGACGCTCCATTATTCACGAAGGACTCAGCTGACCTCTGACTTCCCCAAGCAGGGAGGAACAGTTCATGAGGGTCACTTGTGAGCAGGGCAGGCATCTGAGGTTCAGCCCAACCTCGTTCCCCTGGGAGCCCTCAGGGGCTCACCTCCCAGCTGCGCCTTCTCTGCAGCTGTCCTCGTGGGCCCCCATGCCCGTGGGACTGTAATAGCAGGGAGGTCATCGCTGGAGCCATGATGATTCACGCGCAGCCCATTTGGAATCCAGCAAGCTGACTCAGATCCCAGGCCACCCGAGGACAGATGGCCTGGGGGGGCCAGGGCCAGGACACAGGAGTAAACAACATCCAGTCCCTGCCAAGGGCCTCCAGGTCCAGGGGTGGGGAAGTCGATTATGAACACAAGCGACAAGGTGTGAGGGGAAGCGAGCATGCCCTCCCGTGCCTGCTGGGTGTCCTGCCTCGACTGTGTCTCGCCCTGGGAGGGGAGGGGTGGGGGGGCGAGGTCAGGTGGGGGCAGGAACAGCAGCAGAGGAACCCGTGGCACAGTCTTGGGAGGGGGAGCCAAGCCGGACCAGCGTGGGCGCACAAGTGAGGGTCTGTGTGGAGGGTGGAGTGACTGGTGGAAGTGGTGGAAAGACAATAGCCCCAGTTTGGGGGGATTTTGAGGCCACATTAAGGAGATCAGGGCTTGTCTGAGGCAACGGGGCATCTCCAGGAGCACCCAGGTGGAGGTCAACGTTACTAGGGGACTCCAGGTGGTCCAGAGGCAGGAAGATGGGAGTGAATCTGAAGGCGCAGACCAGGAAGGAGGCCCCGTGCAGCGCCAGGGCGGGG